ATACAGAGGACTGTAGTATTGGAGCGTAGGCTTGATTGAAAGTGCAGAAACAACCACGCGTTCCTTTCGATCTCCTCCTCTCTACGCCCCTAGCCCTCAAACCCTGAACCCTAAACCCTTGAACCCTAAACCCCTGAACCCTGAACCCTTACACCCTAAACCCTAAACCCTAATCCCCTCGGCCCTACCCTAAACCCCAGACCCCTGCTCTGCACCCCAAGCCTCTGAACCCCGTACCGCGCGTACTGTTCCAATCCTTGCCCTGACACCTGACTGTAGTCTCCTTAGGAAAGAAGGAATCCTTAAGAATTATAGTCCCCATATAATATGGAGTTGACCAACATCAGAATAAGATATCCATATACCCCATATTCTGTCTACTTAAGGGGGACTCTATATTTCTACTATTTAGCTCTAAAGGGACTACAGAAAACACCCCTAAACCATGCAGGACCCAAATGTCCAAATACTTGCCTTCCTCGACGTCGTGAGCTGAGCTATGGAATGACGTGAGTTTAGGGTTTCTTTGCTGGGCGGGTTTAGGGTTGAGGGTGTAGGATCTGCTCTTTAGGGCTTCAGGGTTAGCATGTTTGGGGGGCCGGGGTTTAGTGACCCCTTTTGGGGGGCTTCAATCAATCAGGTTTCGATTCGTTTGGTTATTTTGCATCTACTTCTAAGAAGGACAAGAAGCTTAAATCATTATACATCCCGAGAACATGTCCAGAACAGGTTGAAAACTTTTGGGTCCGCGGGAGACTATGTCTTTCGTAAAGCTAATTCGCACACTCCCGAAGCCCTAAACCCTAAACCGAAAGATACTGCTGGACTCTTGAGTCCCGGACGCCTTTAGTACCATAGATATTCAACCCTCAAGGCCTAAACTCCATACGGTAGTTCCAAAAAATGGGTGTCCACCCAATATATTATGACCATTTGCAACCCCTACTGTAAGGACCACCGAAGCGGGCGCCCGGATTCTTTTTTAAACCCTAAGCCATACATGAGCATGTCCTTATATACCCCTTGTATGTCTTCTATATCCACCTTAAACGAACCCCTTATTGCATATGGGGTTATATAGGGATGTGAAGGGTTACCCCAAACCCAAAACCCTTCAAGGCACCCTGAGATTGGGGGTTTTAGGTGTTTGCCTAAACCCCAAAACCTGAACCTTAAACCCTGAACCCTAAACCCTTCAAGGGGTTTGGGATTGCCAAGGTTCGAATGCCTAACCTCGATGGAGAGTGCACAGCAATGAGCTCGGAATCTGTTTGGAGGGTTGTAAAGGGTTGGGGATTTAGGGTTTTCGGGTTTAGGGTTTGGGATGTTGGGTTCTAAGCTTTAGGGTTTAGGGAAACCCCGAACCCTAGACTCTGGGCCCTGAACCTTAGACCCAGCATAATCCTAAGCCCGCCGAAGGGTGGTTCACTAGGAGTCCCGAGAAAGGCCCACACATAAGTGACCCGAAAGGCTGCTCGTGAGGATATATCTCTTCGGTAATACCCCAAGCCCATACGTCTTGTAGAGCCACCATCAGGCCTGGATAGTCCACCTTTTATAATTGTGTCCACATGAACGCACGCTGCACCTGCAGATCCTGCAGATTGGCAGGCACTTTCGAGCTGCATGACAGCGTTTACAATTGCATGTAAGCCGACCTAGATTGCTTGGCCACTTAAACGCAGCTCTTCCGGCCTTTGGTCGTTTGGTGATGGGTTCGTTTGGCAGGAATTCCACCAGACTGACTGTGATGCTGCCTCTGAGAAGAGTCTAGAGTCTAGAGTATCAGGTTGTTCTTACTGCCACGCTGGTTGGTTGTTTTCCAAAGAAGCTCGCCTTGTTTTGGTGGCACCGTTCTTGCCATCAACAATCAGTTCCCCTGATGATGACAACCTCCCACCCCTAGTAATCGTAGATTTCCCTCTTGATGTATAGTCGTATTATATTCGGAGCATTATTAGGGTGTGTTGTCACGAGAGGGTGGGCTTACAATAAAAAAACACACACACCTAATTATGCAATGGTACTATGGTACTATATTGGGAGTATTGGAGGGGAGGCAATAAAAGGAAGTGATTAAAGTAAAAGCCTAAATGGTTACCAATATGATTGTCCCATATACCTTGAGATTTTCCAGTATAGGGTACCACAAATAGACTTCAAAACATGTTGGAAATATTCTTTCAGAGAGGTTGAGGAGAGGTAGAGATTAAGCATAGATGCGGAAGGTACAAACGGGAGTAGGGATGTGCCTGCCAGCTTCGGGGTGGAATCTTTGAGTAGTTACCAACACTATTCCTCAGGTGGAGGTGTCAGCGTTCAGGGAAACTGCCCACAGCGCAGCATTGCGGCTCAGCTTTGCAAACTGCTAAACCCCCCAAATTCCCCCCAAATCCAACCTCTGAATGCTCAATGCTTCAATGGTTATCGCTCCAAGAATGTGCACCCATCGGAGAGGAACGGTGAGGCATTGCCCCTCCTTAAGAAACTCTCCCTCTCCCTTTTGGCTTATTGCGCGCCAGCGTTCTGCTTGGGAATCTGTGTTGGAAAGATGCCGGCCATACAGGGCAGCACTGCGTGGATTTCCGGCGCTGCTCAGGCGCGGCTTCAGGGCAGCCGTACTTTCTGGAAGCATTGTTGTATGGCGCGTTTCGAAACTGAAATAACACATATTGCTTTGGGTTTCATATTAGGAGGTCTTCGTCGGTCATAGGGGTTCAGAATCTTGGGATACGGGGCTTCAGTTTGGGGAAGGAGAACTTGTAGTCTACTAGATGCGGAACAAGGCTGAGCATGAAGTTGATGTTGATGTCGAGAGATCCGCGGTAATGTACCCAGTTAGTGGTATTCTACCAGGTGTCCGTGCAAAATCTCACACCGCTGAACAATTTCCATAGGATTCCCGCAAGTTGTTCTCAATCCGAAGATGTGGTTTGTGCCTACCCCCCAAACCCGAGCTATCTACAAACAAACCTCAGTCCCCAATCCCTGGACCACAAACCTCAATTCCCTAATCCACCCTAAACCCTAAACCACATGGAGGCTTTCAACCCCTCCGCCCTGTAACCCGCCATAACTTAAGAGCCCAAAAGAGGTAGCTGCTAATGTATGATTGCGAAAGTCCATTAGATAGAGTAGGATCATATCCTCTTTTGGGCTGTTGTACTTTTTTGAGGAGAATGTAATCTTATTCTGCGCAGCCACCAAAACACTATTCAAAACACTTTTGAAGATTCTCCTATGAACCATAGTCTAAACTCCTTAAAGGGGGTTCTACAGGGGATTATATAGGGAACCATTATAGGAGTTATAAGGGATACTAGGAGTTTAGACGGTAGCTCCTATGAGGGCATCGGACTGGCAGTGACTCGAGAGCTGATCGCGAAGGGCGCAAATGTGGCCGCCAGGGCTCAGATTTTAGCGGGTGTGCCTTGAGTTTAGGTTTTTAAGGTTTTGCGTCTAGGGCTTCGGGATTATTATAAACCACTTACGTAGGTGCTATAAGGGGTTATAGGGTTTTGGTTCTTTGGGGCTTAGGGTTCAGGGCTCTTGGGGGTTTTGGGTCCTGGGTTCGGGCTTCAGGGCTTAGGGTACCTGAGTTTAGGAATGTGACCTGGCATTTCAGAAGCTCTCCAGGCTGCATGGCAATTAGGGCAACTGCTTCAGCCAGCCGCAGAGAGCACAGTCGCTATTTATCTTTGTTACTACATGCGTCCCTACATCAGCTTGGAATCTGCGAAACGAGCCTTTGGTATAAATAGGGATTTTGTGTATGAAGCCAATCTTGAAGAAGCAAGCCCAGTGAGCAGTGCTGCTCACTCTACAACTTCGAATTTTGTCTGATGGTCCAGCGGCAGTTGTTGAGATTTTTGCGGCTTCGGGGGGAGGCCTTTGATTGCCCAATAGCTAGGTTTGAGGCACAGTGCTTGTCAGCAGTTCAGATACCAGCATGCAGGATGCAAAGCCTACGTCTGTTACCTAACCACTCTGACTGCTGCTTCCACGCCTGTGTTGGTCTTCCTTCTGGTTGTCATGCTCAAGTCACGTTCGTAGTGATGGGCCCCGTTCAGCAGGACGACTTCCGAATACTACGGATGGCAATCGTCATCTGTTTGGGTTAAAGATGTTGGGGCTTGGGGCCTAGAATCTTACACGTCAAGGCACGACGAGCAAGAAGAAGAGGTGATGCGTAAGGTGGAACAGCGTAACAACAGCAGTCATTGGCATAATAGGTTGTGACAGATGTGGGTCAGGACGTTTTTAGTGAGAGTTTTCATGGAATCATGGTGGAGACGTGGGGTGTTTCTCAACAAGTCATGGCCTACACTAACTGTTGGGATCCTTGTTGCTTTCGGAACATCAACCTGCAATTCTGAGAAACACGTTCATGGGATTGAGGTAGTACTAATGGCTGGACTTAAAACATGTGCGTTTGAAAGACCAAACTGGCCCTACCTAGGCTACAACTCAACTTAAAAGCAGTTACTAAGTCCTACAAACATTCGCATAAAACCCCAAAACAAAAACATAAGCTGACATGGTCCCCTTTTTACGGGACAGTAGTCTATGTAGGTCTCTTCTTGGTCTTCCATGCATGATAGGGGGAGGGAAAAGACTACAGACTTTAGTTCCGGCATAAAACTTTGTGAAATCACTACCATCTGAAACCTTCCCAAAAAAATCCAAGAAACCCTAAACCTTAAACCCCTAAGGTCTAAGGTTGATGAGAGTTTCTCAAATAATCCCGACGAATTCCCATCCACCCTAGATTTCCGGAGGGCCTCCTCATTTTGGGAGAACCCGAATCCCTAGACCCCAAACCCCTATGCCTTCATATGCTGACCTTAGAGCATACATCCCTGATACTCCCATATGCCCAGCAAGGTGCTCCTAAACTCCGAACCCTAAACCTTAAACTAGCCCTTTTTTCCTAAGCGTCATGCTTAGTATAAAAGGCCCCGTTTAAAGAAAAAATAGCCCTTCTTTTGAGAGACGGCCAGGTTATGGCGGACTTGATGGACGAGAGCCGCGGGCAGGCATTGGCCGCGGAAGTCTGCAGCGGAGGACCTGGCCAAGCGGTGTAGCAGGGCGCGCAAGAGTACATAGTATTTCTCTGTAGGGCTTGTAATATCACCCAGTAAAGAGCAAAAGTTGATGTTTGGGGAGGTTTCTGGGGGGATAGAGAAAGGGTGAAGGCCAAGGGTTGAGGGTTTTGGGTCTAGGTTTTGTGACTGAGGGTTTGGGGTACATGTTGTCTGGATCATGGTTGGCTGCGCTTGCATCCTGGTCCTGTGCTCAAGTATTTGAGCCATGTCGTGCCACAGCTAAGGCTTTTACTTCCCCCAGTCAATTTGGTTTCTCGCGTATCTTTATTGCGGAAAAAGAGTATTCAGTTCCGTTCTTCAGAGGTCTGGCGCTACAAAACGCCAAATTAGTGAGTGTTCTGCTGCTTAAATTCCGACGTCCGTCCGCATTATATTATTCTGTTGAATTCTCTAACATCAAAACTCAAAAGAAGTACTGGATGTTTCACTTCCCTCAAGTCAATTCGGCGTCTCCTGTACGGTTATTGAGGGGAAAAGAACTCTATTTCCTTCTTCAGCATAGAGGTTCCGTTGTACACAAGGCCAAATTAGTGGGTCGTTGTGGTTCTTGGACTATACTGTGCTGATATTGCTTGCTGTATTTGACGGAATCGAAAACGGATAGGCGTTTATAGGCCAAAAGCGGTAAGCTTTGGTTTCTTTGTATCTTCATTGCAGAGAAGACTGTTGTATTCCATTCTTAAGAATAGGTTTTAAGTTCTACAAAAGGCCCAATTAGTGTTTTGTCGTTTGCTCTCGTGTTTCTGTTACCATGAAACCCTAAACCCTAAAACCCTGTTGCTTTTGATTTTTTCCTTTTCAGGGGCCTGGAAAGGGCTTGGGATGGCCATCACCTATGCATGTGGCAAGACCGTGTCCTAAACCCTCTAGGGACATGCCAAATTACAAGCAGGTAACACGCTATAGGCTATATCTTTTAACAAGTACCAGTAGAGGCAGCTTAGATACACTAATGCTTGTAACAGGGCTGCATACCTTCACGACTTAATGGAGTAAGATGAAATGTCAGCCAAGTAGCTGCTGAATGTTGATGGAGGTCCACATGGCAAATGATGTTTTCTGGAGTGACGTATTTCTCTTGAACCAGCTGTGTGGCTTGCTACGTGCCATCCGGAACCTGCTCAGAAGCTGTTGGACATCATCTGCTAAACGCTTGCTGTAGCTGCACTGAGGTATGACCGCGTTGACGTCACGGACACTGACAGCTTGCATCGCAGCCTCGTGCGGAAGCCGCAGGATCTGCAGAGTGAACTGTTTTGTCACCAGGTAGGCCCCTGGGACATTTTGATATTTTTCCCAATGGCTTTACTAGGGGACCCTATGTACGAATGTTTTTCAAAGGGTTCTAGGGGCCAACCCAGTGTCAAGGGTTGGTGGATGAAGAGTTTGGAACGGAAAACGTTGAAATTGATGAATTTTGTTGGAATTTGGGTGCAATGTAGAAGCCTGAACCGCTGATGAAGTGTTTTTTCGCGTGTGCGACTGTCATTACTGAACGTCTAGTGCAACCTCTGTTCCTTGCTAGTGGTTCTGGCCTTTGCATCAGGGGAATATGGGTCATAGTTCACGGCTAAGAGCGCGTGCTCAAGAGCGGAAGCCATGCGTGAGGGTTTCTGAAAATCATGACGACTTCTACTGAAGCCTGCCGTAATTATACGTCATCTTGACGTTTTGGGGGCATTTGGAATGATCCCATTTGGAAAAAGGCCTTAAACCCTCAGCCCAACATCTCGAAATTTGTTTGCATTCCCCATGTATTCTGGGACCATGGTGAATTCTTAGTTCCACCTTGGCGAAGCGACACACACACAATGCTTCGGACGCCTAGAAGGGTCCTTCAGGCTTCCTCAAGACTAGGATAACGCACTTGATGTGGTTGTTGCCGCAAATTATGGGCCACTTCTACCTTTAAGGAACTGCCTGCCAAGGATTTAAGAATTTGAAGGGTATGTTGCATGAATTTAATTTGAGGAACAGCTATGTTAATACCCTCACCCCACCCCACGGAAGTGGGCTGAAGGGTTGGGGATGTGGACTGCGGGAATGGGGGGGTTCGGGCTTGGGGTTTTGGGTTTGGGGCTAAGAGGCTTTATAACAGTTACATCCCGGTTGTTATAGGGAATTTCTCAGAAAGGGGACCCCGGAAGGATCTTTGGGATACATTTGGGTCAGAAGAGGATTCAAAGCGTTCCTTCCTCAAACGTTTTTTGCAGATTTACCCTAAATAGTAGATTCCATTTTCTGCTCCATTATAGCTTATAACCTATATATAATGGTACCCATAATCTTAGGAGACCTCCAAAGATATACATATAAGTTATTATCATCTGGTAGCCCTCCCTCAGGGTATCGTAGAAGGGTATCCTCAATCTCGGTGGTCTTGTTATTGGCCGTTTTTGTGTTGTTTTAGGGTTGAGGGTTTAGGGTTTAGGGTTTAGGAATTCGGTTGTTACCATAGGGCTCCTCTTAACTGCTCAGCCCACATCTGCGCTGCCCGGGCAGAGCGCACGACTACCAAGCCCCTGCAGTAGCCTGCGTCGCAGCTTTAACCAGCCTCCGAATGGCAAGAAGATGTTTTGATGACAACCTTGTGTACCCCATCATAGTTCCTCGCTTGGTCTATGCTTCTTAGAGCAACTCTCATGAACCAAACTCAGCCAGCATGAAGCCAAAAATGGAGGAGTCCTTCAAGTCTTGCGCGACCATCGTCATCAACAATGCTGGTATTGTCGTTAACGATGATTCTGGGGAGTCAAAGATCAAGTCTATGGTGGATGTGCGGCGCAGCCGAATTCAGTCGACCTAGACCCTAGACCCTGACGTTTACATACCCCCCCCCCAAAAAAAAGATAGTTAATGCACCTTGCCCATGGAGACCTTTATATACCCCAAATTGCTGTCCACGGCGAGCTTTTGGGAGTAAAGTTTAGAGTTTCAAATTCTAACGCTTCACAATATGGTAGTTTCCATGTCCTCTTCCGTTGTCCCTATTATAACGTAGTAGTCTTCATTTTCTTTTCCATTATCCCTAGATAATTCTGAAGCGCATGGAGCGCTAGACTTGAGTGGGAAAGCCTATGTGAAAACGGCACAAACGTCCTTCCCCCTCCATGCCCTGGGTCAGACAGACCCCCACAAAAGCCGTCCAAGAGTTTGATCTTGTGAGAAAAAAAACCCGTTCATGTAACCCACAAATTAAAGAGTTTCTCACGAACTTTATGGAACCCATGTATATCGCTAGCCTCCCTACATGAGTGTGCTCAAATTTGGCAGAAACTGCCCGTTGCAGCAGTGTCTTTTGTGGGTCCATACTTGGGCTCAGGGGGCTGGAGAGCAAAAAGAACTTGGGATTCAAGTATTCAAGCTTTAGGTTCAACGTTCCTCACGATGCGCGAGCGGGGGAAGAAGGAAAAGCACGGATCCCTTTCAACAACGATCTTATGCTTTGGGGACTCGGATTTCATTACAGGAAGGTGGGAGGCCTTACTCGCTGGCAACCAGGTGCACTGCTTCAGCTATCCTCCATATTTTGTTACATCTAAACCCCGATGCTTACTGCCTGCTGCAAAATTCTTGTGTGTTTTGAAAGAACGAACTTGCGGATGGCACGCCCCTACAAGGACGTGACGTTTAGCTGTTTATTTCTTCTCCGCCAACATCAGATAAAGCTCCGTTCCTCAGACCCAGTGAAACTGCAAGGAACATGATGGCGGTGATGAAAGGCACCTACATGGCTGCAGAGGCACTCTCCGGCTTCAGGTGTGGGCTTGAGGGTTTAGGTTCGAGACCCCCAGGTTTTAGTCCTTCAAGTTTGGGGATGCATGGTTCAATTCCTTAAGCCCCAAACCTTCAACCTGGGCCTAAACCCTAAGGTTTACGGTTCAGGGTTTAGGGTTCTAACTCTTAAGCCCAGAAGAGGATGCGGGCCTGAGGGATCAGGATCTGTTGTTTAGGGGCGAGGCTTAGCTGATCTATGTGGGGGTCAGATAGGGCTTTGCATGATGATCTCGGGGGTTTAGGGTGTAGGCTTTAGGTGTGAGCCCTTTTGGGGCAGCCTATATATTATGGGCAGTATTGCACTGGGATCCAAAAAAGAGATCAGAAGATTGACAACCTATCAACACCCTTAACCTTAAAACGTGCATATAGGGCTTGCTACTCCCCAAACCCTGTAGTCCCCCTTAAGTAGATAGAATATGTCTTTCGAAATATTTTACATTAACTTCCCCGTATACAACATATTTTAGTTACTTAAGGGAGACTATAGACCCTTGTTACTCTGCCCCTTATCCCTAGGGCCCTAGAACTCGTGAGCCTTGGAGCCATATCCGATCACTCCGGGGAGTTAGGGTCAAGTTATGGGGTTTAGGGGTTTAGGGCTTTGGGGCTTTAGGGTTTTGGGGCTTTGGGGCTTCAGGGGTTTAGAGTTTAGGGTTTGGGGTTTTAGGCGTTCAGGGTTTGGGGGTTAGTCCAGGGTTCCAGATTCCGGGGTTCAAGGTTCTGAATAAATAAATGGATCCGAAAAACCCAGAGCTACAACCCGAAAGAGGAACCGTGAACCTCAACAGTTAGGACCCTATAGTACCTATCATATGGCTCAAAAAACTAAGGCTACTAATCGAGGGTTGTGGGGTTTACCAAAACCGCACCCTAAATCCTCAACATCCTAAATAAACCCTAAGGTAAACCCTCAACCTTTTTGTAACCTCAATGGAGGCCATCCGGGCCGCTGGAAAGGCCGGAGTCGTCATCAACACTGCCAGCATGGGCGGTCTGTTGCCACTCCCGGAAACGTAACTTTACCTGTAAAGAAGCTATGTTTTGTTCAAAAATTGGCAGTCCCTTTTGGGGGCCCCAATTATAGGGGCTATAGTTTAGTTTGCCCCTATTTATGGGAACCCCATACAGGATACATAGCTTAGGGATTAGGTTTTGGGATTCAGGGCCTCGGATTTCTCCAAGCAAGGGTATCCAGTGGGACCGTAGGAGACCTCGAGCACCTACAGGTGGCTGCAAGTGTCTGAACCCTGAACCCTAAAAGAATACAAGGCAAATTGTGGCTTGGCATGAATAGGGGCTGGCTTGCAAGCCCAAGCCCTCAATGTTTGAGATTTGCAGGGCCCGGTCTTCACGCTCTCAACGGTATAGTGTCCAGTTGAGGTGTAAGTTTGCACCTCACGCTCAGCATACCCAATAACACCTGTTATGTGACCCCCAGTTGGGAAGGGGCCTTACCAAGTCTAGAGAGCCTTCATCCCCCTAAACCCGGAGCCATTAGCCCTATTCCCAAAACCCTAATCCTTGAACCCTGATCCCATAACTCCTACATCACCTTTACCGGGGCCTGTTGTTTTCCTGCAACTCGGCTCCCAGTTTCCTGTTTTCTTTTCCATTTAGTTCTCCATTCCTGAACCCTAAAGCCTATGTGTCCCCTACTATCCCTTTGTCCCGTACTTTTTTTCTACATGCCCGTATAACCCAATAACTCAGCTCAGGCAAGCCTATGCAGCATCGAAGTGGGCCGTGGTGGGTTTTTCAATCTCGTGCCGTCCTCTTAAGAAGCTCAGCTCCCAAATCAGCACAGGGTTCTGGGTTTAGGGTTCTGGGTTCCGGGATGTAGGGTTTCGGGCTGCTTGACAAGGACCCGCCACTGACTTATAGTGATATTTTACGAGGCTTTAAGGACCTTGATAAAAAGACTTGTGGTTACTAATAGTGATATCCGGGAGCACCCAACCCATGCCTTGAAAGCTCCAAACTTAAGAGAAGTCTAGACTCTTGAGGTCCAAGGTTTGGCAAGGCCAGCAGAGGCCAGTTGAAAGCATTCGCTGGCTAGTGTTCCCTAATCTGTACATAACGACTGACCTGGTAAATCCTAAGCCCTGAACTAAACCCTAAATGGATTTCTATGGGAAGCGGCCCAGAGCGCAGGGGTAGTGAGAGATAACATGAAACCAGAAGGGGTTGAGGGTTTTAGGATTTTAGGGCTTAGGTTTTAGGGTTTATGCGTTGCGTTGTAGGTCTGGCGAGGGGTACACTAAGCCCTAAGCCATAGACCTAACTTTTGAAGGCTGTAAGCTCTGACCAAATATCAATGTGACGGCCTTCGACTCTGTATAGAACTGTTTCGCAACATACCTCAAACGCTATTCTCATTAGCAGGCCATCTCACAAATTCTGGGCCTACTTTGCTTTGCCGTTTGAATCAGGCAATTGTTTTCATACACTCCTCTTACAAGACCCCAAATCAAGGAGTTCATGCCTGTGGGCCTGTTAACGCATGAAAACCCTCAACCCTACACCCCTAACCTCCTGACAAGAAACCCTAATCCCTAAACCCCAAACCCTGATTGCCTTAGACCCCAAGTCCTATTGGCCTAAAGACTAGCTGAAAACCCTTATCCCTAAACAGGGGCAGGTCTAAACATGTTGTTCATTGTTGTTACCTTGAATCTATTCCGAATACAGCCACAAGATATCATTTTGGGGGGCCTCAAAACCTTCCCTAGTTGGTTTAAACTCCTGAACAAGCCTTGCTGTCCATTTCATGTACCATGTTCTTTTCCATTTGATTCTCCGTCCGTGGAGATAATATCCATAATCTTAATGAGGCACCCAAGCCTAAACCCTAAATCCTAAAATCTGAAACCCAAAAGCAGCGCTAAGCTCTAAAGCCTATTCAACAGGAAGTCCCATGGCGTGCGCGTGAACTGCGTATGTCCTGCGATGACGCAGACCCCAGCGGTGGGTACGCTTCTGGTTCCGACTTAGGTTTCTATGGCAGCTACATAGGGTTTTGAGTTTGGGCTTTGGAGCTTGGGAGGTTGGAGCTTAGGGTTTGGAGTTTAGAGCTTATGGTTGGGATCTATAATTGGGGGTTAGAGTTTGAGCTTCAGAGCTTGGGGTTTAGGGTGTATTGTTTAGAGTTGATAACTGAGGACTTAGAGCTTATTATTAGGTGTTTAGAGTTTTCAGTATGAGCTTGGGCTTTCAGGTTGTGATTCACAGCCTAGGGATAGAGTTTACTGTTTGGAGGCGATACAGGCTTAGAGCCTGAACCCTAAACCCCTAAACCCCAAACCCTAAATCCTCTACCCCAAACCCTAACTTTGGGGATGACCTAGTGTGGCTGGTAGCAAGTCAATGCAGTGGAAACAGATTCCGTCAAATCCGGAACGTACAGACACCTAGCTTAGGGTTAAGGGCTTTGGGCTTTAGAGTTTAGGGTTTAAAACTTAGGGTTTAGGGTCCAGAGTTGGATTTAGGGCATTAGGGTTTAGGGCAGCGGCTTTACCTGTAATGATGAAAGCTCTCCTTGCCTTATTGATTTGTTTTCAGACCTCTTCCCGTGTAATGTGGGAAGATGCGTTTGCTGGATGAGGGGGTTTTCAACACAAGGTCAGTAGTACCCCAGACCCTACACCCCTAAACCCTAAACCCTAAACCCTTTAGGGTTTAGGGTTCAGATGCCCCAGGTTTTTCGCCACAAAGTTCAAGGAGCAGGACGAGAACCACCCGCTTCTCAAGGAGAAAGCTCAGCGCCCGTAACGAACTGTTTAGGGTTTAGGGTTTAGGGTCCACCCGACCCTCTCTGAAAGGATTTTTTAGGAGATATGCTGCTGAATAGGGGATATATAGGGATATCGGGATATATAGCCGTCTATTCCACCCCACCCAAAATTACTAGATAGCACTTCATCCCCGTAATTTAGTCAGATACAATGTAGGGTTGCAACTTGCCTTCGTGCTCCGTATCAACTGGTGCAAGAGAATCCTGCAATTGGAAATCCTACCCCCCAAACTGAAGATCTCAAGGCTGAAAGTTCAGGCCTTGGGGGTTAAATCGCAAAACCCTAAGCAGCGTGGCGGTTCAGCTTTACATTTGAGATCCAAAACCTCAGGAAACCCTAAACCCTGCAGCCTGCCAGAAGATGTATCCACCGCCTTAAATGAATTCGTTAGAGAACGACCTGGAAAACATCAATGCTGGAACGAGAGTGATAGCAGTAAAAAGAGTAGCAGTAGTAATAGAAAGAATGTGAACAGTCCTACTAGAAAGACTGTAGCAAAATGAATCTAGTAGCAGCAAGAATTATAACCATGATAAGATTTTTTAAAAAAAAAATCACCGCTACACTTGCAATAGGAGGGACCTTTGTCTAAGGACCTCCTGGGCTGTGTGGAGTGAGGAAAAGACCAAGCTATCACCAGAGTATCCTATAGTCCCCTATATCGAACGTTGAAAACAACCCGTATGGCTTCAATATACTGGGTAGGGTACTCAGGGCCATGCAAGGCTTTTTAAGATCTACCGTTTGATAAAGGCAGCTCTAAACCTTATTGCGCTAGAGTTATATAATACATCTTCCCGGGGCTTTTGGAGGACCAGCTGTGTCCGGAAGAAGTGGCTGATGCCTATGTCGCGCTCATTGAGAATCTTGGCTTGGAGTTCCGGGTTTAGGGTTTCAGGGTCCCAAATCCTAATCCCGAGGCTCTTAACCCCTAAATCCTGAAACCCAAAGCTCTAACCTTCTAGATCCTTTAATTCGAAAAGCCTTAAGCTTTCACCCCGGAATTCCGCAGCCCACAGCTCCAAGCCCCCAGACCCCAAATCCAAAAACCCTAAGCTCTAAACCCCCAAGCCGCAAATAGCCCCACATCCTAATAACTCAAGCCCAAAACCCCCAAATCCCAAAACCCTTGTGTCTTCACGCTGAAGAAAGCTTTGCAGCCTCTGCAAGAAAGAGAAGCCTCGGAAGCGCAGATGGCGTGCCAAAAAACGGTCTAAGGCAGAGAAGGCCACTAAAAGAGCCAGGTGTGTAGGGTTGACATCAGCCAGCGACATGTGCTTGACGGGCTCGGAAGTATTTCCAAGAAGAGTGGAGGCGACAACGTGTTGCAATATCACAGAGGAGGCAAGCTGCCGCAGCCAAGACTTACGCACAAGCCTTCTTCTGTTATTTCGGGAGGTGGACGTGACCATGGCGTACCTGGAGGAGGCATGCAAAGGCACAGCACACTTGCTGCGAAAATGATCATGGTCGGCAGGGTGACCCCAAACCGCCAAGCGATGATGAGAGAGGCTGCAACAGTCCAGTATGCGCGGTCACGCAATTCTTGCAGAGGAGCTATCACTCCTGGGCATGGACGAGGAGGTGGAGGAGGCAGACTTGCAACGGGCCCTGCGTGAGTCTCGAAATGCTAACTTCGAGATCGACCCGCAGCGTTAACCTCAATCGGCAAACTGACTCTGGGTTGGCGCCTGTCATGCTTACAAGGAGTGGCTGCAGCGGCGCCAACGGCTACCGCGGACCGCCGCGCCTCTGACCGACCAGCGGGACAAAGACAGCTTGCGTGGCATAAATCAGATGCAAGACATTGAGTTATCGAAGCCTTGTGGATGACAGGGCACGAAGGCCTCTATTGGTCTCCAGGGCATTCTGGGCCTTCCCAGACCTTGGCATACACCTCTTCGGGGCTAAAATCTATGGGGAGGTCTGGCCGGCCCGCAGAGAGGTGAGGCGCAGCCCTTAGTTGCTTCGAAAAGGTGCAGTTCCGCAACTCGTTCTTTCTGCCACGCGCTCGGGTGTGAGCCCTTGGCCAGTGTTCGAGGTTAATGGGGATAGTCAAAATTACTACATGGACTGCACAGGCTATTCGCCTGCATACTACGTCTCCGCGACCCTACGAGTTGGAATGCTGGTAAGAAAGTCTAGACCCAATTTCCCAGTATGCCTATATACTTATTACCTATAAACGCCAGTTTCCATGTCAGTTTCCATTGTCTTGCCCATTCGGGTTTCCAGTGCCCCTATAGCCCCTATATTGCCTCCCAAACCTTAAGCCCTAAATACTAAACCCTAAACCGTATCTTCTGCTTGCATCAGTAAGGAACGACAAGCTCAACTCACAGGCCGCTGCTGTGATGCCCCAGGTGGGCCCCGGGTTTATCAAGTGGGTCAACAGATGTTTAGAGCTTTTAAGGGCAAGGGGGTTAGGGTTCAGGCGGCTTTGGGGTTTAGAGTTTAGAGTTGTGGAATTCAGGATTTCGGGTTTTTGGTATGGGACATTACAGTCATCCCGCTGCAAGAAGTTCAGGGGGACCGCTTGCAGAATTCCTGATGGGGCTTGGAGGTTTACAGCTTGAGTTTCGGGATGGGCTGTTGGTTCAGGCTTTCAAATTCGAAGCCACGATGCGTGGGGACTCGGGACATGAGTTTGGAGTTGAGGACTTTGGGCTTAGTCTTTACAGTTTAGGGACAAAGGGGTCAAGGTAAGGAGTTATGGTTTAAGTGTTCGAAGTTTTGGGAGTTGGGTATCAGAATCTTGGGGTCTGACTTGGTTCGCGGTTCAATGCCCAGGGTTTCGGATTTTGGGCATGGTGAAATCCAAATCATTAGCGGTGTTAATACAGGCTGAATTTAACTGGTGAGGCTTCACGATTTTTTGCATTCGCCTATACCGCTGGACTGCTTTCAGTTAGGCAGATACAAACTGGCAACCGACCTGCCGACACAGGGAATAGATCGACATTCTTGAGGTACATTGTATGTTACGAGCGACTTGCAGCATTTTAAAAACCAAATAAGCATAAGCGCCATTTGAATCCTTTCCTCGCATTATAAAATGCACCCTTACCCCTAATTTTGCATATTCCTGTATCTCAAATCCTGCTGCGCGGAGACCGTTAAAACAAAAGGGAGGCGTTCCTTGATATGAGCCATAATCTAAACTCCTTAAAGGGGGATTTATAGGGGATTATATAGGGGACTACTATAAGGGATATTAGGGGGGATACTAGGAGTTTAGACAGTAGCTCATATCAGGTTGGTAGGGATGCTGTAGATGTTGAAGGTCTCCGAGCGTTATCAGGATGTCCCGGAGCCAAACAAGGGGGCGATTGCTCAAGGTTCGGTCAAGCTGAATTTCACAATATGTTTCGAAGCATACGTGAAAGATTTTCAAGACACCCCACAGACATTCATCCAGCCCAAATTCCTGAATTTATAAACCCGAACCCCAAATATTACGTCCTAAATCCCAAACCTTGAACCGACTATTCTTAAGCTTGGCCCAACGGCTTTGAACCCCAGATTTTAAACCCCACATCGGACACCCTGAATCCTGGATCGAATGCTAACCTGAACCCTCGACCCCTCAGGTGAGCTATCTGCACAATTTTGACTTCATCGGCGTTACTCTGCAGGGCACCTTCGTCCGAACTTCGTCCTCCCTCGCGTAGGCCCTCAACTTTGTGGGTTCCTGTTGCTCCGGGGCTCCTTTCATATCAAATGCATAATATGCGGAGCCATGCTGAGTTGGGTTTTCCATTGTCACTTGAAACAGTAGACTGAATGGGTTTGCTCAAGGTCGTAATCTAGTCGTATATCTGCAGGATACAAGCCGGTAGACCCCAAGCTGCCCATACAGGGTTTGAGGATTTAAGGGTTCAGGATTTAGGGTTTCCACTGAGTTTGGGACCTTCACTCAATCCATGAAAGTCTCCATACGGACGCAGGCATTGAGAGTCTGCGTTCCTTTGTATTGCAGGGCAGGAGCCCATGTTTAACATGAAATGGCAGTTGCTCGGCATGCTCCCCATGGAGTCCCGAACCAGGCTCGCGAGGTTCCCTCAGAAACCCCATGCATCCCTGGGGTCCCGAAGAGCCTGATTTTGGGCGATCCTGGCTCAAGCAAGTGAGTTTCCCACAAGCATGGTAGGCATTTATGGTTCACAGCTCTGAGAGCAACACTCTGAAGCCCGCAACAGTTCCCTGCCGCTAAAAGGACATACATTCAGCACTTCCTCACATAGATTCCAACTACAACCCATTAGCAGAGTAGGATTTCAGGGCTGCATGTACACAGGACCTTAGGCTCTACACCCTAGACCCTACCCCCTCACTCTCTCAAACCCAACGTTGGTTTTGTGATCCGAGGCATGAAAGATGGCATCAAGCTACCCCGCCGATCGAAACTGTGAGGTTTGTTGCCACAAGTGCATGAGTCTAAAGTGGGCCAGTTTCTAACTTCCACAAAGCAGCAGTACACTTATAATAGATGTTTGGTGCCGGCTTGTTTGGGAGCAATTTAAGGAATTCTGAGTACAGCTAACGGGAGCTCCCTACCTAAACTAGGAGTTCCTTTTTTAACCTTTAGCAGCGTTTCTATCATTTTAGTGCATACAGGCGGACCCTAACTTTCAGAAATGTCCTTTGGGACCTTGTGTGGGCCTGAAGACCTAATCATCAGGACCTAATCCCAAGCGCTCTCCTCCCTGAAATAACATGGGGCCCCGCGTGGACCCCTTTTTAAACGACAGTAGTCTACAAGGGACCATGGTTGTTCCGGGGAGAGTACTGCAAGGGAACCTCAAGTTAAAGTTTGTTAAACTTGGCATCAAAGCTTCTGACGCTCGAGGTATGCAGAGACCCGTAGTAATATGGATGACGCTGGTGTTTAGTGATATGCTTGATTACCTCGCTAATGCCACAACCATGTTCTTCATAATGGATGAGCTCTAGAAT